CACTGCAAACAGGTCTTTTAATTCCCAACTATTATTAAAGAGGAAATTGAGATGCACAGGGGTCACTTGCTTAAACACACAGGGCAAAGGTGCTGCCTTTAAGCTAATACACAGACTGTTTTAGAAACCTTCCAAGAGGGTCTGATGGTATAATGTTCAGGTATGGGTCAAGGAATCTGCAGGATAAAACAGCAGCCTTCTCTCACCACAAAATAGATATTCATATCTTGACTATGAATAATAATTGAATATTACAACAGCATTTTCACATTCAGAACCAGAAAGTCAGAAAGGGAATTGAGAGGTGGGCTGAGCTACTTACGCTTGTTTCTCATAATGACCGTGGGTAGTGATGATGTGTCATGTGCCTGAAGGCTCCCTTTGGGCTGCCAAAGAGAAAGAAAGTAAGTCCATTGACAATTCACCTCTGTCAAGCCCTGAGAAGCGGAGTAGGAAGGGAGCAAGCAGTTCAGCTTCCTTTCCCACTCTGCTTTCCGCACTGCCCTAAGCACCCTGTGTCCCAGCCATAGTCGCCCTCAATTGCCATCCTCTAAACCTGCCACATACTCCGATGCTGTCTATCCTGCCTGGAATGCTTTTCTCACCTTCAGAGGCATGGCATTCTTCCCCTTCAAGACTATTTAAGTGTTGCCTCCTTGGTAAAGTCATCTATAGCTTCTCTCCTCTCCTCACCCAAGACAGTGACTGGCACCCCTTTCTCATTTATAGTAACTGTCTGCCTATCTTCCCCAGTAGATTGCTGGTGCCTTAAGGGCAGCATCTTTTGACTTTTGCATTTCATTTCCAGTAACTAGCATTTATAAGGTGTTGAATTATTGGGTAAAATACTAATTTCAGTTAAGACTTTTGCTGTAGCCATGTAACAAAAATACCTTGAGAAATTATAGATTGAAGCAATTAATCTGAGATAGGTTACTTCCTATTTAAAATGAAATTCCAGGCAGGGTGCGGTGACTCATGCCTGTAATCCCAGCACTTTGAGAGGCCAAGGCAGGTGGATCACCTGAGGTCAGGAGTTCGAGACCAGCCCAGTCAACATGGTGGAACTCTGTCTCAACTAAAAATATAAAAATTAGCTGGGCATGGTGGCAGGCGCCTGTAATCTCAGCTACTTGGGAGGCTGAGGCAGGAGAATTGCTTGAACCTGGGAGGCGGAGGTTGCA